TTTATCATTTAATTTTCTTTTCTTTTCTTTATCGATTCTTAATTTCTTTTTTTCCTCATTCTCTATTTTTCTTTTGACACTCAATTTTAACAAATTATCTTTTCCACCTAGTCCTCCGGTTTTGACTCCACTTTTGAGTGCTGAAAACCAGAGAATATCTTCTTCTGCATTTAAATTTGATCTGGTTTTTTTAACATATTCTTTTAAATTCTGAGAACTAATATCAAAAATATTATCCGTTATTTTTTTGAAGCCTTGAATAAGTAAATCTTTTTTTGAAAAACATTTACGTTTAGACTTTGCAAGACTTCTCCATTCATCATGTAACTTAATAATACTTTCCACATTATACTTATCCTGCTTGCAAGGAATGTGAGCTTTATCCCAAAAAACATTAACGGTTTTCATTGTTAATTTTGCAGCTAATTTTAAATTTGAAATGTTGCTTTTAATACCTAATTCTTTTGTGCATTTAGAAAACACTTAGAAACACTTAAAGTGAATTGTTCATCATTTTTAATTGATACCTTTACAAGCAAAACAGAAGATGAACTGAAGTTTATTTTCAAATTGAAAAATAAAGTTAATTTTGGAAGTAAAAAATTTAAGTTATAAAAATCTTTAAATAGTATAAACCTAAAAAATCTGTAGACATCTCTAGAAGTAGGCAGAGAACTGGTATTAACATCTGCCAGCGGATATCCAACCAACCATATTTCATTTGTTGATTTCAATACTTTTGAATATTTCTTTTTTATTGACTCAGTCAAATTATTTTTTACAGACAACTTTTCTTTTTTTTTTGAATGTGCGATGCCATTGTTAAAATGAATTAAATTTTATGACTGCTAGAAAAATAATAAAACAAAAAAACATCTTCATTTCTTAAAAACAAATGGAAAGATGAATATAATTATGGAATCATTAAATTTTGTTGCTTTCCTAAAAAATATATTAGTGTTATGATTCTTGCTTCTTCGTTTTTATTTATTCACCTTGTTTTTAAAATTTTTAAACGCATCTATGCTAACTATGTTGTTTGAGAGTAACAAATTATTTTATTTTAAATCAAAAATCTTAAAAATTCATGGTATTTAATTATATAAAGAAGAATTTTAATTACATTTTGCATGTAAACTTTATGATTTAAGCGGCCGTTACCGTAAACGGGGGTGAATATGAACGCTTTTTGAACATTTTTGCATCATGAAAGAAAACTATTGGCCTAATCGCAACCATTTTTTCTGTAACAGAACATTATACTACTCAGCTTCCTGTATTAGTCGTGAGCCTGATCAACACTATGCAGTAAATACCTTAGTTTTCTGGTTTTATACGAGCATATACGTATTTCCGAGACGGGGTGAAAATGAACGGCCAATTTGGGGTGACTTTGAACACTACATATTATTTCTATATTCTAGTTTATCGCTATATTACCTTATTACAATGGGGGAAAAAACTGTTAAAGATCAAAACAGATAGCATGAAGTTTATTTTACATAGAACATATTTTTATTTAAACTAAGTTCATGTGAAAAATTAGCATACTATGTTTAAAAACTAGTTTTTTCAATATATTAACATGTATCACAATATTTACAAATCTGTTCCACATAAAAACAGAACATTAAATATCACTATCCTCAAATTCTTCTAATGACTCACACATGCTGCATACAAAGTATAAGATATTTTCAATATTGAGCTCATAATAATCATCTTTATCATAAATGAGGCCACAACACTGGAGGTGATATGGTTTACTGCATTTGTCGCATTGAACCCACACGTCGTCGCTTAACTCTACTTATTTTTTGTTACAGAAAGTACAGTACCAATCATTATCTGTGTTGCTTTTTAGCTCTGTTGAACTTGATGGAATTGACTCAACTAAAGAATGAATTCTTTTACCTGGTACCACCTTTGGACCACGAGGTTTGCGTTTTGTAGTTGGATTTGTGCCTAACCCTAGATTGTTTTTTAGAATATCTAAAACAGATTCGTTAAGAACCATAACGGTGTCATTACCACCAGGGTCTTTATATTTTCCTGGAAGACGTTTTATAATTTGTCTCTTCATGAAAGACTGAACCCAATCTACCCCAGGCATATTGTTTTTGAATCGAGCGTCAGTTATACTCCTTTTATCACAATATGATTTGACTAAAAGTCTTATATCCAAAGAATCAAATGGTACCCTCCAATCAGTCATATGTACAATTGTTTGGACAAATAAATTTTTTGTTATACTATCAAGTCTGGTTTGTCCGCCGTTTTTTTTCGGAACTTGATCCCCAAGCTTAACTTTTTTGTGTAATGTTCCTAATGGTTTATTGTACTTTTTTGAAGCTTTACTGAAGCTAAATCCTTGGTTTTTGATTTTAATTAAAGCTATTTCTAAGTCTTTTTTGTATAACTTGTTTTATAAGCTCTACTGTTTTCCTTTCTCTTGTAATTTCGAGGCATAGTTCTAAAAATTAACAAAATATAATAAAAAATCGTGTTAAAAAAATGTCATTTTCAAATGAGCTTATAATCGGATACAGACAAGTTATACATTAAATTATTGTTTTATTAGAACATTATTTACCTGAACCTTTGAGGTAAATTTGATGACGTTTAGATGAGCGGTTCTTAAGATACTCCTTGATAGGTGGATTAATAACACGAACCACGTAGCTTGTACTGTTTATATGCGATAGAGAAAAGGCGGGAAAAGAAAATTTTGAGGGCAGCCGAAAATTATCTTCCACACATTATATTTAAGGCAAGTGAGTCAAAAAATTTAAATTTTTAGCTATATTTTATGTGCTGCTTCACCATTAAGTTAAGCTAGTACTAGTGTTCATTTTCACCCCGCTGTTTATATTTACCCCCGTTTACGGTACTTATTAGTTAAAATAGATAAAACACTGCCGTACGCTACAGTAGATTATGTTGCTTACATTACTTTTAAATAAACAAGAATGCGTCGCATGTTTTGTTTATTTACATGAAAAACAATAGAAAGATGCCATTATTAGTAAATATTATGCCGAACAAATTAAAAAACGGAACAGAAGTAATGGGTTTTGGATTTATTCCATATAACTGAAACTTAAAATGAAATTCGGCAGAACTTAGAGATGAGCTACATAAACACTTTCATAACAAAAAATGGTTTTTATAGTAGAAGGAACAATATTTTACGCAGCTACTAGTAAAATTGATACTTTGACAAACTTATGTGGGACTGTGGCCTACTATATATATATATATATATATATATATATATATATATATATATATATATATATTATATATATATATATATATATATATATATATATATATATATATATATATATATATATATATATATAAATAAATAAAGTACTGGTCAAACAAATAAACACTGCATAGAAAATATTTCTTTCTTTTATTATTACTATTAAAGTAAGATACACTAAATTTAAGTTTAATATTTTTTAGCACTAGAGGCCTTTCAAAAAATCATCAGTAGTGCTATTTATGTTATCAAAATAATATTTTCTTGTTTTTAAACAGGAAATGATAATTATCCATAGTTTAATCTTTATAACTTAATTAAAAGTGTCATGTTTTTGGAGATTTTGGAGAGTTTTCATAGGAAATAAATTTTTTTTTCATTTTTGAGTTCCAAAAAAAAAAAAGTTGGAAAAAAGGTTCTATAATTGTATTATGAGCACGTTTAATTGACATTTCCCGTTTAATTAACACTTAATTATTATTTTGATAACATAAATAGCACTACTGATGATTTTTTAAAAGGCCTCTAGTGCTAAAAAATATTAAGGTGATAGATCCCCTTTTTTTTGACATTTTCTCAAAAATATTTTTTTATTGGTTCTTATGAAAAATTTATCAAGGAACTTGAATTTTACATCTAAAAGAATTATTTTTTATTGTAAAATACTCAATTTAGCCATTTTCGTGTTAATATAAAAAAAAAATCAAACTTTTTCGTAAAATATTTTTTTACAAAAAAAAAAGTTTTCTGCTATTCAAGCTTCTCTTCTTTTCCTTAGATATCTTGTGTCTTCTTATCCTTCTAACTGCTTAAATACTTCTTGTTTACATTACGTAACGCACGTGGAGCTTATTAGTTTAGTTTTACGCAGTTACTTTTATTTTTATACAAAATTTTAAACGATCGTTTTCTCTGATTCTACATTTTCATATTTGGTACAAAGATATATTAAGTTTTACTAGTCCAAGTGACTTGAATTTTTCACAATATGTTTAATACACTATTGTCAACAAAATGCACCAAAATCAGCATTAACCTGCAAAGGAAAAAACACTTATTGATAGTCTATTTTTTTTATCATAAAAATAATATACTTTAAGAAAAATACCATAAAATTTTAAATAAAATTTTTCTTTTCACCATTTTGGTATATTTTGTTAAGACCCATGTACAAATGCTACCTGCAAAATTTGATATCAATCGGACTATGCAATATAGAGTTATCTTTGTACCATCGTAGTGTCCTTTTTTGCCTTTTTACCCGAATTATTAATTTTTTTAATTATTTTTTTGTTTTTTTAAATAGTTTTTTCAATACAAAAAAAATTATTTAAATAGTAAAAAACTTTCTACAGTACATTTAAAAAAAAATAGTTTGAATAGGGATCTACCACCTTAAATTTAGATTTAGTGTATCTTAATTAATAGTAACAATAAAAGAAAAAAATATTTTATATGCAGTGTTTATTTTTTTGACCACTACTTTACTTATATTAGTTATTAACACATTTCAAATTATATATATATATATATATATATATATATATATATATATATATATATATATATATATATATATATATATTAGCTATTTGTTTTTAAAACCATGCTAAATATACAAACAACTTACCTTGCAATTATTTTTTTTAACTTAAGTAAGCTTTTTAAATAACAGTAAAAAATTAATTTAACGGACACACAAGAGAGGAGACATTAAAACAACTATAACTACTACATTGAATGAAGTTTTAAAGTTAGTCCCCATCCTTATATATTATAACTTTATAAAAACATTATTTGAACAGGTAAAAGGTAAACTTTGAAATTTACAACAAGATTAAAATCATGAACCGCTATTAACTATTCCGCAGTATTATTTTGCAACATTTGAAAACTTGAAAGATCTACATGTCCCTGTTGAACCATTTGAGTCAGGGCTAAAAAAGTCTCTTCGCTTACGGTTTGGGCACGTCCGAAATCTAACGTCATTCCCATACTTTCGTCGTCAATAGTGTTACCTATTTCTACATTTTCTTCTAATGACCTCATATTGTTGATGGTTTCTTGATTGAGTCTAGAATCTGGTATAGCATTAATGCCTAAGCCATTATCTGATTTTTTAAACGTTATCGACTGGTTATGATTTAGCGCATCGTTATTTTGCTGCAAAGATGTCTGTAGCTTTATACTTCGATCGTCATAAACTAGAAATTGAACCGATTGACTATTGTTCGATATATTATTAGATACTAAATGTTTTTCTGTAATGTTTGATCTAAGATTAGTGTTTTCATGTTTTAAAGATTCTTGATTGAAAGCATTGTACTGATTAGACACTATTTGCATAACGTTTTTATTTTGAGAATCATTAGGTAAACAAAGAAGAGATATATTACCTGCATCGTCAATGTTTATTGCGTTCATCATTGCCGCTTGCTCTTCACTAATAAGAACTCTTTGACCTTCACCAATGTCAATGCTGACTAAACCTTCATTTAAATATACAGGTGTTTCATTCATTACGCCTGAGTGGTGCATAAAAGTCTCTTGATCTGGTCGAAAATCAACTCTTTGGTGAACAAGTTGATGTTTTTTGAGTTCATTTAAACTATTAAAATACTTTCCGCAAACGTTGCAAGAATGCGTAACATGTAAAACGTTTTTATTTTCGATTGCTTTTAAATGCTGTTTAGTAACTAAATGTTTATTTAAATCAATTTTTGATGTAAAGTTCTTATCGCATGGCAAACACTTGAAATCGTTTTCTTCGTGTTGCTCTTTAATATGCATTTTTAAACTCATCGCATCCGCAAAGCCTTGAGGGCAATCAACGCAAGGAAAAAGTTTTTCGCCAATGCTTGTATCCTTTAATGTATGCGCATCTAAAACATGTTTAGCAAGTAGTCCTTCAGTTCCAAAAACATCATCACATTGAATACATACTTTTGGTTTTTCAGCTATATGACAAGTTTTTTGGTGGTCTGATAATACATCTGATGTGTGAAAACCACGTTGACAAAAGCGGCATAATAAGACGGAGTCATCGTTCTTCAATTGTGAATAAGCTTTCAAATGTGTTATAAGATCTTCGACCGCAAAAAAATGGGAATTACATTCAGTACAAGCAAAGTCAAGACAGTCTTCTGACATTTTATAATGCATTTCAAGATCTTCTGGCAAACTAAACACTTCACAACAACTATCGCATCTAAACATATCTTCTGTATGAGTTTTCATGTGTTCATTGCACTCTAATTTATTTGAAAAATCTTTGACGCACGTACTACAAATAAAAGGCTTACTCTTTGAGTGTAGAACCATATGGTTTTCGAAGGCAGCTTTGCGTATAAAGTGTTTATCGCACGAAGGACAGTACATTTCATCAATATCATCGTGAGTGTTCATATGAGAAATAAGAAAACGTTTTTCTGCAAAAGATTTATCGCAAGTCGGACACTGAAGACCATCTAAACTACAAAGTATAGTATGTCTACGCAAATGTTCCTGACCACTAAACCTTTTACCACATTTTTCACATTCAAAATCTTTTGAGCCAGCGTGGACTAACATATGACGTTCATACTTATGTTTTCTCAAAAAGTGTTTTCCACACTTTTTACATTGCCATGGATTTGTTCCATCGTGCACTCGTATGTGTGTTTTTGCGTCACGCTTCTCACGAAACAACTGATTGCACTGACAACATTGATACTCCACCCTTTTTCCTTTTAATATTGTTGTGTAAGCCTTTGTCAAATCTACATCTTTAAAATCATTATCAACGTCGATTCCTTCATCTTCATGATCTTGAATATGTTCTTTAAAAATATACTCTGTATAAAATATTTTTTCGCAGTATTTACAGTAAAATTCTGTAGTATTGTTTCGATCATTGCTTTCTTTGAGGCGTTTACTCCTCCATGGCTTTTTTAGAGAATCTACAGGACTTTTCATGATAGATGGCTGTTCATGATTTTCTAAAGTTTTTATCTTTTTTTTTCTGCCACGTTTTTTTGGTGGAGGTTTGTTTTCTATTTAAAAAAACAAACAATTTAAATGACTAATAAAAGCTTAACTATTTTAACAAAGTAATCTACGTTAGTTTTAGACAAAATATGTTGTATAACATGATTTTATTATGTATGCTTTATGAAACAACAAACATAGATGTAGACATAAGAAAAGAGTAGAATTAATATAAATATACAAATAATCTAACACAAATAATGTGTGTAAATAGTAAAAATATATTTCACACAATGTTTATGTATATATATATATATATATATATATATATATATATATATATATATATATATATTATTTAGCTCACAAAAAACATTTTAGAGCTTAATGCTTCTTCCCTTTGAATAAAAACCTTACAAGAATTCATCCACTAAAATTAAAATTAAAAGGAATTTGTCCACTAAAATTAAAAAGAATACACCAAAACTAGCAACAATTATCTTTATTATTGTAAAACTTTTTCATGTATCTTTTGACATTAAAAAGTAAAAGTTTTGAACTTGAAGGTAAAAACCTGAACTAAATTATATAGAGCATAAGTTATTATGCAAGAACTTCTTAAATATATTTAAGATTAAAATTTAAATAAATTATTAACAAACTGTAAATTGAGTTCAAATCCATTTTGGGCTAAATCCACAAAAAATATTTTTTAATAATAATTTATTAATTATTTACAATTGTTTAATAAATCTATATCATAATCTAGAACTCTCAGTTCTTGATCTGGTTAAAAAAAAGCAATACTTCTACTTTTTCAACAGATAAAACTCACTGAGATACTTAAAAAAAAATTTCACTGAAAAAGATGAAAGTAATGTGTTGTTTGGATAGCTTTCCAAAATCTGTAAGATGGTTACTGCTAACTCTAATACCTGAAGCACCTGTTTAAAATACCGGGAATAATTTCTAACTAACGGCAGATAGTAAGTGTATTCAACTAACAGTATAATGTTTTTAATTAAAAAAAAAAAAATTTTAAAAAAGGTTTTTCAATTCTATATTTTTAATTCAAAATTAATTTTTTCAATTATCCACGGCATTGTATACTAAATGTATCTGTAAAAGTTTGTTACTAAATAATATATTAAATAAAACTAATCTGCATATCAAAGCTTAAGTACATCAAGTTTAGAAATTAATTTAAAAAAAAACTGCTTTACTTTTATTCTTGAACTCTAACATAAATTATTTTTGAACTCTAGCATAAATTATAAAAATTATTTTTCTTTTGATTAAGATTCATTTAAAACTATAATGCAGCCAACCATCTTTTTTTTTAAATTTTATCAATAAAGTACATATGCCAAAAATTTAGATATAGTTGTTAACCTAGCATCAAAATTTTTAAGATTTTGGGGCCCTAATTGACTGGTTTTGGGAAGATCTCCCACCCACTAGCCACAGCACTGCTAAAACCCTTTTTTTTTGTGGACTAAAAAAGGAGTTGCCTGAAATGCAAACCCATCTTACTCAGGATCATTGTATAAGGAGTGACTTTTTTTGTGTGCATAGAAGGACACTATACCCTTGACTTCTCCACATCATGCATCTTTTTATGTTGGCAAACTAGAATCTTTAATCAGAAAATTAATTTTTTCAACTGGTAAATTATGGTATGAACGATGATACGGTATAGTTTTTTTTTTTTTTTATTATTTATTTAAGAATATTTTGTTATAAACAAGTACTTTTTAATTGTGATAAATTAGAGAAACGAACATTACTAAGGATTTTTTTAAAATTATCCTATAAAATACCCTCCCCCTATACACTTTCACACGCTATTTAAAGTCCCCTCCTCCCATACATTATGAACAACCCCCTATTAAAAAAATATTTGCTAAGCATTTAACATGTTTCAAAATTTTTTTTACAAAAACAAAAAACAATTTTAAACAATGACAACAATATGAAATGATAATGTGAATGGCATATGAATGACAATATAAAACAACAATATAAAACAAAAACAAAAAATTTACTTTTTCTCATATGTAATTTACTCATAGGAGTAAATTACATAAAACGATGTGAAAAAAAAAAGATAGTTAAAAAGTAACAAAGAAAGCTTATTTGACACAAAAACAAAAAAACAAGTGAAGAACCTACAAAAAATCAATGTTCCTTTTAAAAGGATTTCACTTTTTAATTGTGAAAAAGAATGAAATAGATTGAGTCCATTAAAAAAAACTAATACATTAAAAAAATACTTAAATATATATACACATTAGGTTTACAATTTTAGAAAATAAAATCAAAATAGGAAACCTGCTTCTTCAACTGTTCTCTGTGATTTCTAAAATTTAATTTATGACACCTGATTAATGTAAGTTGTATAAAAACATAAAATATAATAGTAAGCTACATATATTTTTTCTCAAGGAGTGAATTAAATTATCTAATATGAGATAAAACCTTTTGAAGTTTTTTTTGCTTGACTTACTCAGGTAGTATATTGTACTTTTTTTAATTGCATCAATAAAAGTTGAATTTTCTAAGTTTGTGCTATGTAAGTAGCTTAAATTAAAAAAAAACTAATTTTTGAAATTGTGACGTGAGTTGCTCATAACATCAATCTTGACTTTTTATCCATCAATCTTGGTTTGTTATAATCCTACTCAGAACAATCTTTACTCAGAGCTCTCCTACTGAGAGCACTAAGTAAAGATCTGTAGCTGATTCTTTACTTGATTCTATACTTGATTTTGTACTGATAGATTCTGTACTTGATTTTGTACTGATAGATTCTGTACTTGATTTTGTACTGATAGATTCTGTACTTGATTTTGTACTGATAGATTCTGTACTTGATTTTGTACTGATAGATTCTGTACTTGATTTTGTACTGATAGATTCTGTACTTGATTTTGTACTGATAGATTCTGTACTTGATTTTGTACTGATAGATTCTGTACTTGATTTTGTACTGATAGATTCTGTACTTGATTTTGTACTGATAGATTCTGTACTTGATTTTGTACTGATAGATTCTGTACTTGATTTTGTACTGATAGATTCTGTACTTGATTTTGTACTGATAGATTCTGTACTTGATTTTGTACTGATAGATTCTGTACCTGATTTTGTACTGATAGACTCTGTACTTGATTTTGTACTGATAGATTCTGTACTTGATTTTGTACTGATAGATTCTGTACTGATAGATTCTGTACTTGATTTTGTACTGATAGATTCTGTATTGTAAATTCTGAGCTAATATTAAGCACAACTTGTCAAAAAACTACTATTCAACAAAAGATATTTTGAAAAACTGTTGGGGAAGTTTGAGAAAATTGTGTTAATAATTAAGTACTAATGGAATATGCCTAGATAAAAGTTAGAAATTTTACAAATATATAAATAAGAAATTTAATTCTTTAATAAATAAAGACAAAACAGCAACTTTTTTAAATTTGCTTCTATAATATAAAAGTTATTATGATAACATACTCAATATATATCAAAGTTAATGTAATACTTTTTACTTGTGAGCAAGTAAAAAGTAAAAATTCAACCAAAACATGGCAGAATATAAACAACCACTTTTTGATTTTATGCTTTCCAAAAAAGATATTATAATCAGTTTTTAATATCAGAATTCAACAGTCAGAAAGTTCTCAACAAAAATGTACATTGTGTATTTTCAATCAAATAAAGCTGCATTTTTTGACTAAACTTTTCACTCTCTTACTGTTGTTTTTCCTTGATTTGGCTTTTATAAAATAGCAAACAAGCAATAATAAGGAAATTTGCAAGTTTGACTTAAATCAGCAACTTCAAAAAATTAATAGAATATAAAATACAATTTATATAAAATTTAATTAATTCATTAAAAAAAAATTAAATATAATATTTATATTATTATAATTATAATTTATTATTATAATTATATATAATATTATAATAATATATTATTATAATTATATATAATATTATAATGATATATTATCATAATTATAATTTATATTAGTTTAACTTTAAGGTGAACATTCAGCAATGCCGACCTGAAAGTGTTTGAGGTCGGGAAACGACCTTATTTCTATGTTTTATGGTAAGACCTTTGTATCAAATAACTTTTGCCAACCTGATACTGACAAGTTATTGCCAACCTCATTTTTCCTAATTCCGATGGTTATATATATATATATACATATATATATATATATATATATATATATATATATATATATATATATATATATATATATATATATATATATATATATATATATATATAAAATAAGAACTTATTGCAAGTAATATAAAATAAGCACTAATTTTTCTTTTTTTAATTTCGGAGATTGAAGTTTTTATTTCATTATTATTTGAATTTGTTATATGTAATAAAGAACATCTCAACTGACTTAGTATTTTTTTATTTATTTATTTAATCTTTTAAATTATTTTTCTTGTAGCTTTTCCCACCATTTGCAAAGTCATTGCGATGAAATAGTTTTTTTTTAAATAAGTTAAAAAATATCAATTGCTCATTTGCACTTTAAAGAAAAGCATTAGTTTTATTTGAAATTAATATTATTAATAAAATAATAAGGATTCATTAATATCAAGCATTAACTTATTTTTGTATTTATAAATTTCAGTTATGAAGAACTATTACAGAAATAAAAAATAAAAAAGCTCTCTCTCTCTCTCTCTCTCTATATATATATATATATATATATATATATATATATATATATATATATATATATATATATATATATATATATATATATATATATATATATATATATATATATATATATATATATTTAATAATCCTATTATAGAAAAAGAAGCGCAATTGCACAAATAGTATTTTTAAATTTATCTATAAATCATTCATTTATTTTCAATTGGCGACAAAACATACGAGAAAATAGATAAAGAAAAATAAGACAAATTTACTAAGTGCAGTTGAATGAAAAAATGTTCTAAGTTAAATATATAAATTATCAAATATTAAAATATTTCAAATATTTTAACAAAATAATAATAAAATAAGAACTTCAATCATTTATGAAAAGAGGATTTTCAGCATTGGTAAAATGAAAGTAATTTAAGCAAGTGAAGCAAAAAAGCTTAATAGATATAGTTCACACTACGTTCAATGTATTCATTGATAGAGTGAATTAATGGGTTAGTAAAAAAAATCACAGGTTTCTATTAACATGCAATAACTTTGAAATAAAAATTTTAACTTAATACGATTATATCGAATATATTTTTAATAGTATTACTTTTTTAAATTTAATTAATAATATAAAATTATTAATAAGTTATTAATCTTAATTTTGACAATAATTAATTTTATTTATGACAATAAACAATGATAAAAAATTATTAATTTTTAATCATTGAATTTTTGATATAAAGTTAATTTAATGTAACATTTTAAAAAAAAGGTAAAAACCAGGCAGTATTGAAAAAAAAATCTACACTTTAACATCTTTTCACTTTGATGACCCGTTAGCAATTAGAGCACATCATTAACAATAAAACTATTTAAAACTCTTTTTCAAAACTTCAATGATTTTATGAAATTTTGTTATATGCATTTTCAAAAAACATCCTGAATTTTCGTGAAAATCTTGTTTTTAAATTTTTTTTTTTAACTAATCAACCATGACCAGCAAAAATTCATTTTGAAAGGTCAAAATAGTAATTTTACTCATTTCGGGAAGTCATTGACTGTTGACCGGCTATTCCACACTGTATATATATATATATATATATATATATATATATATATATATATATATATATATATATATATATATACATATATATATATATATATATATATATATATATATATATATATATATATATATATATATATATATATATATATATATATATATATATATATATATATATATATATATATATATATATGTACATTATTAAGCACTTAGCTAAGCAATCTGACATTATACTGAAATAAGAAGATGTGAAGTAAAAATAAATCGCAAAAAAATATAAGAAAAAATGAAAGAAAACAAGTAGACATAAATATGGGTAGCAATAAAATCAGTTAAATATAGCACATTTCAAAAGAATTCAAATTTCAATATTTAAAATGACCACCACGGGCTTTTATACATGAAAGAACTCTCCTAGGCATAGACTCAATCAATTTCATGCAGAACTCTTTTGGAATACTCTTAAATATCTCTTCTATCGCTTGCTTCAAGTACTCAACTGATGTCAGCTTGGTGCGCATTAATTGGCGGTCCATCCAAGCCAAAAGATTCTCAATCCGATTCAAATCAGGCGATCGGGCGGGCCAGGGCATCACTTGGATCATCTTTTCTGAAAACCAGGCTTTTATCGACTTGGCAGTGTGTGCAGGAGCCCCATTTTGCTGAAAAATCCATTTGCGTCTTCCGAAAAATTCACAGGCTGATGGAACTAAACACTGCTCCAGAGTTGTTTTGTAGTCATATTGATTGTTCCGACCGGTGTACGGAGCCAGGGGCTATTTTTATTTTGGATGCCTTTGTATGCGCCACATCATAAAAATGACCAAACAAAAAGGTCTTCTTTTTTGGGGCCCTATCATTGCGGGGTCCGGGAACATAGCCCCCTCTAAACCCAACCCTCCTTAATCTAGCACTGGAAATAAGACACGAGTATATAAATAAAAATTATATTACACTCTTTGTTTAATAAAAAACATTTGTTTCCTTTTTAAACAACCGTAAGATGTTACTTTATATAAAAAACATTGCTCATCATAAAAGAGCAATGTTTCGAAAATATTTGTTTTAAACATAATTTATTTTGCTTTAAGTTTTTTCGAGTTAAAAGATTTTATTTTCCTAATTTTCTTTTTGTAATTGTCTCTCATCGGTCCAATTAATCTTTTACGCACTTTTTTTGCTTTTTGAAATGTTCTCAAAGCAACTAAAAAATCTGGCCAGCTTTTTGCAACTAAATATTATTTCCTTGGTCAGCAATCAAGAGTGATCGCTCCCACTTCCCGACCAAGCCTGTCTATATATATATATATATATATATGTATGTATATATATATATATATGTATGTATATATATATATATATATATATATATATATATATATATATATATATATATATATATATATATATATATATATATATATATATATATATATATATATATATATTCCCTCGATGGGAAGAAATAGCTTTAGCTCTCACTAAGGACTCCTCTAAAGTGGATTATGGGAGCAATTTAAAGCTCTCCCAAAAGTATAATTTTGTCATGAATATAAACCACTTTATTTTTTTCTCTATTTTAAGATATTGATTAAAAAAATTAAACGTTCTGGTTCAAACTACATTTTATAAAAAATACAAAGTTTAAGTTTCAAATTTTTTTTTTTTTTTGCTTACAAAATGCAGCTGTTTATTTATTGCATAACAGTAACTGATTTGTCAATTCGTACAATTTTAAACACACACACACACACACACACACACACACACACACACACACACACACACACACACACACACATATATATATATATATATATATATGTATATATATATATATATATATATATATATATATATATATATATATATATATATATATATATATATATATATATATATATATATATATATATATATATAAAGTATACATATATAAAGTGTTAATTTGTACAATTTTAAACACTTTAATAAAATATATAGTACTTACAAAGATTTTGCTTTTTACTAAATACTTTATATTTTGTTTAAAAAAATATCATTGTAAAAAAAAAATTTTTATGTGAATTTTGAAAATTTAAAAATCTAAAAGATCTTTTATAAAGTATCACAAATTTTCAAAATATATTACTTATACTATACAAGATAATTTAATTCATCCCTTGATAATGACAATATTTGTACTTATTTGAAAATTTAAAAATAAATAAAAGAACCTGAAACTCTTGCAATAAAGATGAATACTTAGACCTAACCACATCACCAGGCAACCAAATAAAAGAAATGCAGCTGAACTTGTATTCTTCAACTCCACTCTAATAAAAAAAAATATAGGAATCTCGATGAATTTAAAATTTCTATCAATTTTAAATGAATTTTAAATTTGTATCATATTTAATACAATATGTAATACAGTTTTTAAAAATTTCTATAAGCAACTTTGATTTTTGTTTGTGTATTTAGGTGTATTACAATTCCTGCTTCTGCAATCATAAACATAAATACCTAATTGAGAAGTTAAAACAAGTTTATCATTCTGTATATAACCCTAACCCATCACTATGCATATACATTTAGCTCTGCCAACCCCTATTCCTATGTGACATAGAAATAGGGAATATTTCTATTATTAACTATTTCCAACTATTTCTAAACCTATATTCTCAAAAATCTCTCTTTTAATTTAATTTAAACAAATCTTGATTAAATAATTTAGCATTCTTACACTGTAACGTTTACTTTATGCTCTAAAAAACTTTCTAGCATCATTTAGCAATTCATCTAGCTTCTTTCCTTAAAAATTAATTCTCTCCCATCCTCATGTTTTCCTGAATCTGTTTAAGGTCCTTCTATCAAATATTTTCTTGTTCTTTAACCTTTTTCTTCATTTTTAGTTAACTTCCAACTTTAATTGAGGAGTGGACTTGCAAAAACCAGATAATTTACTTTTAAAAAAAAAGTCTTAGCAATGTTTTTTTTGCAGTAATAATATTCCTTACTATTATAAAGATAAATTAAATTTAAAAGCAACTATTTTAATAACAATTTACCTGTCTTAAATTATTCTGTCTGTGCAAAACCAGATAAAAAAAATTCTTACCAGTAAAAAAAAGTCAATGCAAAATAAGACAAAAATTTTATTTAATCAACATTCTGTTTTAAAAACATTTTATAAAAATGGAGGACGTTATTTAAACTAAAAATCATATACAAAAAAATTCACTTAAATCACAAAAACCATATTTAAACAGTTACAATTGACTTTTAACTTCATCAATACTATAAAAGTATAAAACATTAAAATTACTCATTTTCTAAAGCAGAGGGGCATTTTGCACAATTATATTATTAAAATTGTCTTGAGTCAAGTTGACTTCATAAAGCTTTTTTGAAAACCAGTTAAAATAAATATCCGATTAAAACCAGATAAATAAAATAATTGGCATGCAAAACCAGATAAAACGCTTTTTGATTTTGTAATAAAAATAAGATCAAAAGAGCACGATTTTCAAATTTTTGTCTTTAGCATTCTTATAATGATATCTATTGTTTAGCTTTTAGTTTTTTAATTTTTAGCTATTCGATTTATTGGAAAACATATATAAATATATATGTATATATATATATATATATATATATATATATATATACATATATATATATATATATATATATACACATTTATATATCAGGCTTTCACAGGAAGACGTGCGATTTCACTTCTTTATATGACCATGCAAGTTACATTTTGCTATGACGGTTTGACCGCGGCTAATTCAAAAAACATTTTAGAAATGCGCTAAATAAAAAATATTCTAGAAAAGTGAAACTAATTACGTCAAAACTTCTTAACAAATGTTTTTATATTAGCGAAATGATTTTAAATAAAGTAACAATTTACTGAAAAAAAGTTTTGTTTTTTAAATATAATTGACAGTTGTATATATTTTTTTTAATATAAAACATAAATTGTTTAAGTGTTCATTTCTAAAATAAATCTTATTAAAAAATAAAAAATTGTTTTGTATATATATTTATATATATATATATATATATATATATATATATATATATATATATATATATATATATATATATATATATATATATATATATATATATATATAAAGATGTGAAATCGCATGTCTTTGTGTGAAAGCCTGTATATGTTTATATAATTATACATATGGTTAGGCATATAATTATATATATATATATATATATATATATATATATATATATATATATATATATATATATATATATATATATATATATATATATATATATATATACATTTATATATATACAAGCCGCATGAGAGTGCCGCTATATTGACTAAGGGTTTGGCATGGTGCAGAAAACTTTTTTTTCCTTATTTTTTGTTTTTTTTCTTGTTTTTCTAAAAACGCCGTATAAATTAATATAACGAAAATAGGGTAACAATTTAAATAGGGTAACGAAACAGTTTAAATAGGGTAACAAAAATAGGGTAACAATGCGGTAGTGGTGTAGTGGTAAGAGCGCTCGCTTTGTAAGCGAGAGGTTTGGAGTTCGACTCCTACCACGTCCCTGGAAGTACCGCGTTCAACTTAATTTCTCCGCGCAGCAATTGACAGAAAGATTCCTCTTATTGAGTGGAATTTCTGGATTGACCAAAACACTACCAGAAAAATGGTGATTGGAAATATCGATCCAGTGGTGACAGGTAAACTGCAGAAGTCAGAAGAAAGAAAAAGGAAAGCGGCTATGTTCCTAGAGAAAACGAAATTGAAAACTGTTGAATGCAGTTCTACTTTTCAAGATTTTGATAATGTTGATATAGAAAAGAGTTCAGAAAGTCAAGACACTGGTGGTAGCTCCATAGACGATTCAGATATAACAGACAAGGAGACCAGTGATAGTGATGGCAGCAGATGTGCACAAAACAGAAATCATTATCCAGAACTGTGTAAAGCTATTGATCGCTCTAAATGTAGCAATTGAGATGCCTGTTTAATTGTGAATTCTGCCTTGAAAGACCTCAGATTTCTTTTCCCTGAAAATGCTATACATCCCAACAAACAACCCCGTCAAAGATCTGCATATCGGAAGAAGTCAGTTGAGAGGAAAACCAGGAAATTGTTTGTCTTGGTTTTGATGGTAAGATTGATGTTACTCTTACACATGTAGGATCGACTCGACATAAGTTAAAAGAAGAACATTATGCTTTGGTTTCATTTCCTAACCAAAACTGTTGAACATGTTGTTCTAGCATCAATAAGATCTGATGACATCTCAAAAGAAATTTTATCAGTTGTTATAAGCACTAAATCAGAAACCACTTTAAAAGCACTCTTTTGCGATGGAACCAATGTTAATGTAGGAAAAAGTAATGGCATAATCCAAAAAAATTGAACAATATCTACAAAGACCACTTCAATGGTTAGTTTGTATGTTTCATACAAATGAATTGCCTTTGAGAAAACTGATAGAAGTTATTGATGGGAAATCTACTGGTCCAAGAACTTCCAAAGGACAATTAGCAGGCGTGATGGAATTTGATCCTCAACATAAACCTATAATTGATTTCTCTCCTGTATAAGGTTGCGTTGCTGAGGTTAATGAAACCGTAATGAGTGACCTGAGTACAAATCAGGTGTACCAGCTTAAAATAAATGTTAATTCAACGTTATTACAACGCCAGTAACAATTACATTGACTACTTGCAAACTGCTCAAGCTGGTGCAGTCAGTTATGACAGATGGCTAACTAAAGCCAACTGTTTGTTAAGGTTGTATGTTTGCGAACAATATCCTTCCCATAATCTTCGACGTTTTGTTTCATTCATACTGAACTTCTACTCACCCTCATGGTTTCATATCAAATCGTGATGCCATGTCATCCGACATGCCAAGATGGTGCCAAGAATTTCTTCTTCATGTTGTCGCTTTACCAGAAACTTGACAAGCCTGATCAGGAGATTGTTGCGCCAGTATTGCAAAACAACAGCTACTTTTGCCATCCGGAAAACATCTTGGTGGCAGCTGTTGGTGATGATGGAGATATCAGGAAATTTGCTTTTGAAAAAATTCTGCATGCTCGTAGTGAACATTCCGATCATAGAATTCGTTGTTTTGACAAAAGCTTGATCAAAATTAACTTCACGTGCAAGTCATACTTAGACATGATCAACTGGAACAAGGCCATCTTTGCTTCACCTCCACTTCTGGATGACATCATGTCAGAAACAATTGTTAGTCATTCAAAAGTTATTCTACCTGAGTTTCCATGCCATTCGCAAGATGTTGAGAGAAATATCAAAGATATATCGGCGGTCTGCGGTAAAGTTTATGGACACGATTCACGCCATGGTGTTATCATTCAAATAAAGAAATCGAGAATAGACTTGCCTAGTTTAGAAACTAAAGCTGATTTCCTACCATAAGTAAGACACTTATACTTAACATTTGTATACTTAATATTTGTAATGCATGCCATGTTGGTTACTTGCTTTATTTTCTTACGAAGATGTGGAACTAGAGACAAAAACCTATATGCAAGCAAGGCTAGAAAGTGCGATAACTTGCAGACTAAGTTGCTAGAAAACGATTATGTATATTATAAATCAGTTTTTTGTGTAATAATTACTTTCATATAAAACACTGATTTTCATTTGTCTCAGACCCTAATTGGAAAATTTGTTATATTTTGCCCCACCCTAATATATATATATATATATATATATATATATATATATATATATATATATATATATATATATATATATATATATATATATACATATACATATATATATATATATATATATATATATATATATATATATATATATATATATATATATATATATATACATATACATATACATATATATATATATATATATATATATATATATATATATATATATATATATATATATATATATATGTGTGTGTGTGAAGTTCTTTCTGATATAAAATACTCAACATTGAATTGAGAATAGTTGTTTTAGATACTCCTGGAAAATTAAAACTTATTGAAATTGTGTTTCTAATATATATTTTTTAAATGTGGTTATAAAGGTGTTCCCAGAGGTCCTTACAGTTTTATCACAGTACACTGCAGAAGAGTTTTTATCTAGGAAGTTCACGCCTCCTTCTTAACTAATGTTGCTAATTGACATATCACTTTCTAGAGCTTTATGCTGATAAGAAATTAAATTGAACAACTCTTTTTTCTAGTAATTATATGTTATTTCAACTCATTCCTCATAAGGTGTATACGAATACTGCACTGGACCACACCAGACCACACCAGACCACACTGGAGTGTAAAAAACAATTTTGGTAGAGCAAAATATGCATAAGTTACATTCGTTATAAATGCAATAAAAATTTACACACAAAAAAAAAAAATTGAATAATTTAAATTTTTATAACAATTTTAATTGTGTACGTACAAGTAAAAATATGTATTTTAGTCAGAATTTTATTGTATTGGTGCATTTCATTCACGCGCGCGCACCCCTATCATATATTAATATTTTTGATTTTTTTGAAAAAAAATTTAATTTTCATAAATGTGTTTTGATTTAAGCAGAGCGGTAGGTTTTTTTTACGAGATTAATAAGTTATTCTTTTAGACTGCTTGCCCTAACCAAAAACCCTTTGCACCTGCATGTACACTCCACTGTGCCTGTACCTATTTTATTCAGTCGATGTATGCATACTCTACTGCGCCTGTCCCTGCTTTGGTCATTCGAAGCATGAATCACAGCCCCTGTTGCTATTTTTAATTTAGTTTCGCTCTACCCAAATTGTTTCTAATACTTTGGTGTGGTCCGGGGTTGGTCCAGTGTGGTCCGGTATAGTATTCGTATACACCGATTCCTCGTATTAATGATTTTCAAATTTTTTGAACTCAGCTTATAATAATCTCAGATAATGATTTAAATTCAGAGTTTCATCAATGAGTTAAACTAAAAGTTTAACATCTTTTCATTTATATATTGGGTTTTTACTCATGCTAAAAAGTTTAAACACATAAGAAAATAATATTAACAATAATAAACCACAAATGCTTACGACTTTTCATGTATTTATAATTTTGATTTGATTTGTCTCACAAATGGAAAAGCTTTAATATTTACATAATTGTAGATTCACTTAAATTAAAACTTTAATCTTTAATCGTTCTAACCATTTGAAAAATCCCAGATTTTATCTTACTTGATATCAAATAAAATTATTTTACTTGTAAAAATAAGTTATTTTGAAATAGGCATAGTGTATATACACATTAACTAAGAAGGTATAAAAAAAAGCAGGTATAAGGCAGGTAAATACAATTTGTTAGCAAAAAGTGAATAACTAATAAAAACGTGTCTGTAGTTTCCTAATGTTTTTTATGTGTATGAGTGTATAAGAGTTGGTTTTTACTTCTTTGCATTGCTTTACGTACCTCTAATTTACGATACTGAACTATTTTTTCGAAACTGACACTATCTTCAATGTCCGTCATGACACATTTATTTTCTTTAGTATTTTGTATTAATTTTATATTTTCCATAACTATATAAAAATTATGAAGGTAAACAAAATCGCAATTGGCGTTTACAACCGACACTAACACAACTAACACGACAATAACAAACTCGGTCTAATGCTCCGTAAGAAATATTTGGTGAAAAACCGCCAAAAGGTCGGGAGAAAACAAAAAACCATCTAAAAGCACTGTCAACTTTGGGGGGATTATAACAGTTAGATTATTTTTTATTTTATTTTTAAACGTCTATTTAATGGTTCATACAATTTAAAAATAAGAAATAAATACGAAAAAATGTTTTCAAATAAAAAGAAACGTTTTAATAAAATAAAAAAAAGGGTTAATATAAACAGACAAATACGAAGAAGACACGGATAACCGCAGTAACTACAATCTTTTCATTAAGTTTCCGAGGCTCTCGCTAAAATATATGAGACTTCTTACCTGGCCCAGCATGCTTTAGGTTGATGCCGGAAGTGAATTTAAGGAGGCTTGCTACAAAATTTCGTCAGAAAAAAATTACGTCTAGGTTGTATTTTGCCAATATTATTGAGTCAATAGTAAAAAAAAAATACGTGGTCGCAAAATATAATTTTACATAAATCTTAAGACAAAAATTTAATAGAAAAAATCTCCATGGAATATTATTTTTATACTTTTTCAATTACGTTGTAAAAAATTCTATATTTTCAAAACATGTTTAACTTTCATAAAAGTTTTTTTTAAATTGGAAAAACTGTATTCAAGCCGATATCATTCATGAAAGTGAAAGAACGTTGTTTTTTTAATATTTAATGAGTTAAGTCAAAAATTTAACGGTAAGGTCGTACAATGTAAGTTTTAGCACGACAAATAAGCGACAAAATATATTCTGACAATTTAATTGTTTTTTAATGATTTTTTTTGCCTTAGGAGTTTTACAATTTTTAAGTTTCGTTTTAAATATGAAACTAGTAATTTAATTGAAATTTTTTATTAATTTTATTTGATTTTTCCCCGCATTTATTCGATAAACAACCACTCCGACAAAATTATTCATTTAGAGGCGATCACAAATAGCTTCTGGCTCCAAAAAAAACTCTTACTGCAACCTCCAATAGAAATAGAACCCACTAGAGGCGAAAGAAAAAACATTTTGACACTAAAAATTTAATTGAAGGCAGCTGCTAACTTCTGTGGAACTAAAGTAAAAGCTACGCCGTTTGTCAACACTGTATTGAAGTTTTCAATTATCAAAATTAGGGGCTCGTAATAGTTTTCATTAAGAAATTGCTCTTTTTTTCACACTAGCTGAAAAACTTTTTGGTCACCAATATGCTTAAGACTGTCGCATGGGTGAGGTTTTGCCTCAAAATCAATTAATAATAAAGTTACTCGCTTATTAACAACAAAAACAAAATGGCAAAAAAAAACCCCGCTCAATCTCATTTTTCAAGGCAACCAATCTAATTCAAGTTTTGTATTTGATGTGCAAAAATAGTTTTCAAAACAATTTACAACAAATTGCGATTGTGGTGTAAATGTTTAGTTGCCCTTTACGTAAATACGTAAAAATATTCAAATTTCCTTAATAATTAACAAAAATTAAGTTAAAAAGGAGAGACCAATACATATATAAACAAAGTATAAAACATACGTTACAACTAATAGCAAGTTATAAACTTGAAATGGTACTTATGCATAGTAAATTGACGTCAAATCAAATAAGGTCAGTAGAATGTTTTACAAATGCGCACATAAAACTCAAACGAACCCGAGAAGTTTAAAATAAGTAGAATTGAATTTTAAACAGGACTTCTAGATTTCCCATTAAACTACTGCTCGACTTCCAAGATTATTCACAAGTTTGAATTATTTCATACTCTGCATAGATAAAAGCCTCGCTATTAAAACTATAAGGTTTCTTAATACTCAAATCCGGTTAGGTTCAATCGTCATCTTCTTGATCGTCTTTCGCAGTTTCGCCGCCAACTTCCTCGTAATCTTTTTCCAATGCAGCCATATTCTCTCTGGCTTCAGTGAATTCTCCTTCCTCCATCCCTTCTCCAACATACCTTATAGTATAAAATATTGTTAATATATATTTTATTATTATTATTATTAAATATAAACTATAAAAATCTAACTAAAATATAATTAACAATATATATAAAAAACTACCAATGAACAAATGCTCTTTTTTGATACATTAGGTCAAACTTGTGATCAAGTCTTGCCCACAACGTTCCCATTGCAGTTGTATTACTCAGCATACAGAGTGCACGTTTTACAGGAGCCATATCACTACCTATTACACATAAATACTATAATAAATTTTTTCTTACTTTTATCTGACTGTACTAGAACAAATTATTATTTGTAAAAAGATAAGCAAGGTTTAATAAAATAAAAGTATGAAGAACTTATACCATTAACTGTTACAATCGTTTGATTATTTATTCCAACTTTAAATCCTGTAGGACACCAATCAACAAATTGAATGTTTTTTGTAGCCTTAATTTTAGATATAGCTTCATTTACATTTCTTGGTTGAACGTCCCCTCTATAAAGCATACAACACGACATGTATTTGCCGGCAGAAGGGTCACACTTTACCATCTGATTTTTTAATTCAAACACAGAACGAGTAAGCTCTAATGTATCTAGAGTTTGATGATAAGCTTTTTCAGCAGAAATGATTGGTGCAAAACTGGATAAAGGAAAATGTATGCGAGGATAAGGAACCAAATTTGTTTGAAATTCGTTTAAATCTACATTGAGTTCACCTAAAAAATATATATTTATACAAATGTAATACAAACTAAATTTTAATTATTAAATAATTATTAAAAATTTTATCCTTATTAAATAATTCTTTTTTTGTTTACAATATTTCTTGTAAAGAGGAGCCCATCAAAAGAACTATATCATCATATTTGATTCACTTACTACTGTACCTAATTTTTATGTACATCATTATCTTATTATTTATTATAACACATTATTTACAGAACTTATATAAAAATATTATATTTATAGTATTGATATAAAAAAAAGTATTGCTTCATACTCAAACTAATTGGTTTTAAAACTAGTATTTGTAAAGTAACTGTAATTGGGTGATACATGAAGATGCTTGGTGAGTAGCTTTGAACAACTTATACTATTTATAAAAATATGAAACATTTAAAGAGATGTAATTCAATAAAAAGTCGAGAAAACAAAAAATTCTAAGCTGAAACATCTAGATTACTTCTTTCAATTTCAATTTAATCTAATTTTGATTGAGGACAAGTTTGAAATTTGACAAAAAGAAAAGAAAGGAAATGTGACCAAAATAAATTTTACTGATATCAATAGTTTTAATACAAATTTCAGTAATAAAGTCTTTCAATTTCAATTTAATCTAATTTTGATTGAGGATAAGTTTGAGTTTGACAAAGAGAAAATAAAGGAAATGTGACCAAAATAAATTTTACTGATATCAATAGTTTTAATACAAATTTCAGTAATAAAGCAATGGAAGAAAAAAGGCATTTAAAAATGATATCAGCTTTTGAGGGACCTTGTTTCCTATCTTATCTACCCTTAAGCTTATACTGAGCCTCTCCCAAACCTGATATTTTAGCCACATACAAACCTCAATCAGTTCTTTTAAAGTCAACAAAATTATAAAAGATGATATTGAAGCATAGAGGATGAATAATGCTTATGAAACCAATCCTGCATACAAATTACAACCACTAGACAGATCTATGAAACCCTTCAAGACAGCTTTTAGTGGGCAGTTTTGATAGCTCTGAGTTACTGAATATTTTTTTAATGTTGTTTTGTTTTAAACTCCAATAAAACTTATAGCTAGAATAAAGTATTTTAAATTTTTAATTTTAGTTTCATTAGCAAATGGATAATACTTTTAATTCTTACCTAAAAATGTACTTGAAAATGTTGCTTCATGAAAATGTACTTAAATGATTATTTTATAAAGATGTACTTAAATGGTTATTTCTTAAAAATGTTTGGATATTTCTTAAAAATGATTGGATATTTCTTAAAAATTTTTGGATAGACAAATCTAAAAAAGACCCATAACCCTGAAAGACTAGACAAAATTTTTTACTGATATTATCATTATTACATTTAGAACTACTATGTGGTAAGATGCAGGAGAAAATTATGCTAAAAGTATATGAGTATATAAAATAAAAAATCCAACCCAAAGTATATTATCTGAATTTTAATCAAGTTTCATGACTTGACTAGTTGTAAGTAATTATTCAGCCAACTTCTTATGCGTTAATGTTAAAATTAAACTCTTCTAAGGTCATTAAAATTCTGATGACCTCAGAATTTTAATGTAAAATTATGAGGTTAGAAAAATTCTTCCCTCTTTTCAATCCTATAATTTAAGGCAATGGAAACAATAAATTTTTTAAAAATATTTCTTTAATAATTACATTAAACTACATTAAAGAATTGACAAAATATGAACATACAGATGAAATGAGGACTTAAATTATACTAATACAGATTTTTCTAACTTAAAATAATTAGTAAGTTTATATTTTCTTTATAATTCAATGAATGTCAAAATAATATTATTGTGTGTGTTTAAGTGTGACATTTTTGCATGCACATTAACAAAAATAAAAGTTAAAAAACTTTTCAAAAAATAATAAAGTTTTTTTCCCTTTGTTTTACGTGAGATAACTTAGGAAAACCCTGACTTTATCCTGACCCTATATTTCAGCCTGATCTCCAGCTGTTAAACCATAAAACATTGCTTAAAAATCATACCTTGGAACCTTAACGATGTTGTTATAGATGAAACAACTTGGCATATCAGTCTATTAAGATTTGGATAATTTGGTCTTTCGATGTCTAAATTATTTTTACATATATCATAAATCGCTTCATTATCAACCAAGAAAACACAATCTGAGTGATCCATAGTAGCATGAGCAGTAAGTGTAGCATTGTATGGCTCCACAACAGCAGTAGAAACCTGTGGTGCTGGATACACAGAAAATTGCAACTTGCTTTTTTTGCCATAATCAACCGATAACTTTTCCAAAATCAATGACGCAAACCCAGATCCTGTTCCACCACCATACGAATGAAAGAGAAAAAAACCTTGTAACCCACTACATTGTTCTGTCTATAAAGAAAAGAAAAAAAAAATCTATTTATTATCAATATTTCATCATTAATTACAATATTTCATCATATTTGTACTTTATATAAAACTCATTATTATTTGAAAGATAATATATATATATATATATATATATATATATATATATATATATATATATATATATATATATATATATATATATATATTTATATATATATATATATATATATATATATATATATATATATATATATATATATATATATATATATATATATATATATATATATATATATATATGAAAAGGAAAAAATAAGAGATAAAAGATGGAAAGGGAAAAAGAAAAGGTATGGGAATGTAAATATTTATAAATTCATTGTTTCTTTTAATAATTTACACAGCTTTTTTTATTGTGTTAAGTTAAAAATTGATAACTATTTGTTTGTATTATAAGTTAGACAAATCTATAGTGTAATATATTTATTATTTAAACTATATATTTAAATAATAAATTAATAATAATTTTTTAAATATAATATAGTAAAAAACTGTATAAAATATTTAAAAAGTATTTTTCTGCTAGAAATTATAAAATACAAATTTAGCTTTACTATAAATCCAACTCAAAGTAATGTCACCTATGATTAACGATCTACAATACAAAAATTAATGATGGAGGATACAAAAATAATAATAATAAGTAGTGAACATTAATATGTTTATTTATTCTGAATTTATAAATAATTTTATAATAAAACTTTATACTCTTGATTAAAATTTTTATCATAAATTCAACATAACTTTACTTTTTAAAACATTAAATGGTTACTTGTTTAAAATTTCAATATAAATTCAAAATATTTTAAAAACAGTTTTATTTTAAAAACACTAACTATATTTCTTGATAAAAATTTCTAATATAAATATAAATTTTGCTATATCCAAACATATCTTTAAATTTGGAGACATTTATTTTCAGTGCAAATTTATTTCTGTGTTTTATTAATACTATGTTACTTGAAACCACTATTATTATATTACCTTTAGCTATTGAATTAACTAAGTAACTATAAGCAAATATTACAAAATAAAAACTCACCTCAAGATAAGCAGAGTCTTTCACATACATTATTTAGGCTAGCCTAGCACTTATACAACCTTAATGCTGAAAAAATCTTTGTGTAAAAATTAAATTAATTTTCCTAACCTACCTTTCATGCAATCTCTCTTTATATATATTAAATTATAAATTTTCTAAAATACATAAAATCTCTTTGAGTTCTTTAAATTATGAAAAAATTTGTTTTTAAACTTTTTTTTGTATCCCAAGCAGTGAAAAACAAAATTTTATTTAATGCAAATAAAGATTGGTTAGAGAATAATTAGAAGGTATATATATATATATATATATATATATATATATATATATATATATATATATATATATATATATATATATATATATATATATATATATATATATATATATATATATATATATATATATATATATATATAAGTATTGGTTAGAGAATAATTAGAAGTATATATCTATATATAAGTATATATATCTATATATATATATATATCTATATATATATATATATATATATATATATATATATATATATATATATATATATATATATATATATATATATATATATATATATATATATATATATATATATATATATATATATATATATATATTAGATATGTAATGAAGTAAATATATTATAACTTTAACATTATAAATTAATTGATTATAAATTATATTGGCATATATTTTTATGATAATCTGTTTAAACTCAGAAACTTTTTAAATAACTGAAACAATTTTTTAAATGACAACAATCCTTTGAAACAACATGTTCTAAAAAAAAAAATTTTTAAAGTACTTTTAATGGTTTTAAAAAAAATTTCCACCACAAAAAATTAAAAAAAAAGTTTTACCTATTCTATTACCCATAGTCGATTAAATTGACTACACAATTTTTTAAAGTCGACTAATTTCAACTTTTGACAAGCCAACTTTAGTTGATAAGTTGATAACAACTTTTTGGGTATTTTTTCTCTGTGAAAAACTGAAATGACTGACTACCATAATACTACTAATAAGAACAATTTAATTTTTAAAAAATTATATATTTATACTTATAATAACTAATGAAAAACAAAAGGTTCAACATTACTAATGATTCACGTGTCCATCCATGTGATTCAAAATGGGACTAGTACATTTAAACTTTTTTTCATACGTTCGCATTTTGAATTGAAAGAAAATGTAATTTTAAAACTAATTTTGATTTGAGAAAAAATGTGATTCAAAATGTAGTGTTAATTTTTTTTGTTGATACACTCACATTTTGAATTTAAAAAAATAAACTTCAAAATAGATCAAAAATGTTTTAAAAAACAGTATAGTCACATTTTGAAACATTTTAAATAACGTGCATGTCTAATTTAACTTAAGCTTCTTTTTCTTATGTATAGTAAAATTATATAATGCACCTTATTGTATTTATTTTTAAACATAGTGTATATAATTTACAATCTTTATAAGCTTAATGTACTTTCAATGCTTTTTAAAGTTTTTTTTTAAATAATAACAATGAATAAAAACCTTATCATAGTTCAAAATATGGTTTTATAAATACACTCTTTTGTATATAACAAACTGTTTGGTCGTTCTGTCTGGCTACCCACAGTGACTTTTTTTCAAAATTTAAGTTGCACATTTAGAAAATGAGCTGTACCATACAGCCAGGTGACCATGAGGTTCCCTCCCTGCCTACACACATATATGTAAATTGTAAAAAAGCATACTCAGATGGTTGGTGCTTCAGTACACATATTGACTACTTAAATATAAAGAAAACTACACCAGTGACATTTCATGCACGCTAAATCCACACACACATTAACACAGATTTATTAAAAACAAAACTTGTGTTTTTTAAATTTTTTAAACAATATATTCCAACAGTCTAACTGATAAACAAAAACTGGAAACATAATCCGCAATGAGCATTTACAAAAACTTTTAATGGTATAAGTAACTTTACAATTTTAATGTTATATCTTATTTCAATTTATTATTTTAAATAAAATTTATTACTAAAATAATACTTACATTTCATACGAAAATTTATACAACACTACTAGCAGACTGGCATGACTGGCCATCTTTTTGTTAAGCTTTTCTAAAACAAACAAAAAAAATCATACCAGTTTTCTTATCCTATCAGAGACTTGATCTATAATTGTTTTGCCAACTGTATAGTGACCCCTAGCAAAATTGTTGGCAGCATCTTCCTTACCACTGATCATTTGATCTGGGTGAAAAAGTTGTTTGTAAGTTCCATTTCGTATTTCGTCAATTACAGTTGGTTCTAGATCAACCATTAGAGCTCGTGGAACTCTTTTACCGCTATCCATTTCTGCAAAAAATGTTGAGGAAGAATCTCCAACATTAGACTCATGTTTTTCATCAGGGGAACCATCAGGTTTTATTCCATGCTCCAGACAATATAACTCCCAACATGCATTCCCTATTTGACATCCAGCTTGGCCAATATGAATAGATAAGCACTCACGCTAAAAACATTTTTCAGTACATTTATCTTAAGATTTCATCAAAAACTTTATTTTAAATAATGTGAAAAAATCAAATAAAGTTTGTAAATCGTAAAAATAGATACACACATATTTATATTTAACAAACAAGACAAACTTTTTAATTATTTAAAACCTTTTACTAATAAAAAAAAACATGTTTTGACTACCACTTGTGATCTTCATTTCAAATTATTCATAACTAAAATTTAATTTATAAATATCAAATCTATTTTAATATTAAATTTGTATGAAGTTTCAAGGTTGAAATTTAAGATTTTAAATGAATTTTTTTTTTTAACATTAAGAAAACAATAATCTTTTATAATTTGATAAAAATATGTATTTATTACCATTTTTCATGTAATATACATTCAAAGTATAATTGTAATAAACTATTTAAACTTTTTAACTAAAAAATAAACAACCAACAAACTACAACAAGTACAAACAAGCAAGTGTGGATATATAAATTTTAAAATATATTTTGATTACTCTTTCAAACAAAAATAAAAAAAAAAATTTTTTTTCTTAATCTTAACAGTTAAGCTAAAATATGGAAATTTCAAAATTTTTTTCGATATTTTTTCTAATCAAATTGACTGAGCCCTTTCTCTTTATTTTTCAGATATTATCAACATTGTTAGTGATTTTAATGCTCATCAGAATGAATGGCTTGCCTCTAGTGTCAATGCTCTGCAGGTATTAAGCCCCACAACTTTTGCCTTTCTTAATCTCTAACACAAATATTCAACTATCCAGCTTGCCTTTCAGATAATCCGAATCATTTACTTTCTCAACTTATGTCTTGTTTCTTTACCTAGTCAGTGCTCAGTTTCTCACATTCACCCTTAGGTACTCTTGATCACAGTTTGATCTCTCTAAAACTATTATCTCATTTTTATTCATCATCAGAATCACCCTATCATTGTACCTTAAAGCTGACTGGGAATCTTTCTGTAATTTTCTTCATGATGGCCCTTGGGCAGAAATCTTTCATCTTCCTGCTGACACATGTGCATTCTTGCATAGCTTCTTGGATTCAGGCTGGTATGGAATCTTTTATTTCCTCTCGACAATTCCAAGTCAATCCTCACTCTTCTCCATGGTTTTCCTCTAATTGTGCTGCTGCAAATTCCAGTCATAACTATTACTTCCATATCTGTCACCAAAATAATTCTCCAGACAACAGAGGTCTGTTTACTATTGCTAGACACTGTTGTATAAAGGTTTGATTTAACGCCAAAGTCTGCTATTCTCAGGTCACAAAATCTTGTATTTCATCTCAAAAACTAGGCCCTTGTGACTTCTGGAGAATCTTCAACAGTATCTATAACAAGGGTAAATCTGTTATTCCACCACTTATATGCTTTAGATTTTGTCATCTCACCTAAAGACAATACTGAATTGTTAGCTAAGAACCTCTTATCAATATCACTTGATTCCAATAGTCACATTTTACTTGATATAGCCAACAAATAAGTTAAACCATTGCCTGACCTTCATACCGCTCCAGCCTCTGTATCAAATGTGATTTCCTGCTTAGAATCTTCTACAGCTCATTTACATATGCGTTGAGCAATATTATGTGTGCTTTGAGCGACTTTTTATCATTTTAACTTTTAAATCATTCTATAAGAGGTAAGATAAAAGATGTAATTAATTTTATAAAAGACCACATTAACTTTTGAATAACAATTATGTAAAAAAGTTTGTTACAAAAGTTTGAATGACGATTATGTTAGATATAAGCAGGCTTGGAAATGAATGACATGCGATCACACTGTGTAACTGACCGCGCTAATAGTTTTTTTTCTTTACAACTTGAGTACAGTTATTTTGATGTTTTAACAATTTAAATGCAATAAAAAAAAGTGTTACATAATAAATAACTTTTAATGGTTGATCTTTTTTAAAGTTTTTATTTTATGCAAAATAAAAACTTAAAAAAATAACTTTATCTACTTATATAAGCATTTATTTTGTTGATTAATGAAAAAGTTTTGAAGTATTTTGTAATGTTCATATGATTAATTTTTATAATTAAACTTCCGACTTTTTTAAATCTTCTAAACAAATATTTTATTTTTTGAAAAAATTTTATTTGTTCAATTACGATAGGAATAAATGAGTTTAAATCTTTTATAATAATTTTTAAATTTGTTACATGAAACGCTTATTAACAAGGTTACAAATTGCTTGTAATGCTAAAGTTAAATTAAATGCTACTTTTTTTTTATTTTTAAGAATAAAAAAGTTTAAATTTTTTTTTAACTTGACTTACTACTCAATGCAACTAAGGCATACAACAGACATATAAAAAAAAAAGCCGATAATTTAAAGCAAATTCGATTGGTTGTTAGTGGTAAATCGAAAAACTTTTTAGATATTGGTATTTAATTTATGCAGACAAAGATTTCGTATTGAAAGTAATTTAATTAAAAAGTTTACCGCTTCTGTTTTTTTATTGTTTACACATTCTGAATGAAATAATTTATTATTTCAAGATAGCTGAATAAGTCGCGAGTATTTCAAAAAATGATACTAAATCAGTTTTTTAAATGAGGCTAAAAGTTAGGGATCGTCCATAAATTATGTAACACAAAATTTCACAATAAACAAAACAAGAAAAGATCAAAAGTTTTCCTTCACAGAATCTTAATTTAAATAAATAATAAATATAGAAAATTAAGTTAAATGAAAATTTAACTAAATTTCCTTATTTATATCGCCGCATAAAAGGGCTTAATATCTCCTACTTCTGTTTTTAAAATATTTTTTGTGTTGCGTAATTTATGATTATCCCTTATGATTATTTATGCAAAAAAGACTTTGGTAGAAAATTTAAGACTACCATAGGTTATCTAAATAAAATGTGACATTATTGTTAAACATACTCATTTAGGTGTGGTACTAAAATTTTTTCATAAAAAAATTGGTTTTTCATGCACAATTTTTCCAAATAATATCTGATTAGAAATGTCAAGTTAAATTCATTGAAAACAAGCACCAATATGTGCTATTATGAAAAAATCCAATTTTTAGACTTATCTATAGCCAAGTTCCAAGGTACTTTATGTTGAAAACTGCATCTTTTCTAAATAAAACTATGCTTGACAATTTGTTATAGTCCCATTACTTTTACCAGATTATAATAGTGGCTAAAATAATCTTTCCACACATACCAAATGTCATACTTTTTGATGAAAAAACTTACATATTGTAATTGAAAAAACTTTTTTTTTTGGCAAAAAAAATTTTTGTTCAGAAAAATGTGTACCAGGCCTTAGTTGCATTGAGTAATTAGAGCATGAAATTATTAAAAATTACTTTTAGAAAGACTACATAATTTTTTTAAACAATTTTTTTTTTTGCAACTTTTTTGAAAAAATGTTTATACAACTTAAAAATATTATATAAAACACTTATTAATAAATTTGACAAAATTTGTTCATTAAATAAACAAAACTATTAGTAATTTGTTAGTTAATTTAAAAGCATTTTGCATAACTTTAATAAAAATTTTAATAGCATTTATTTCAAACGTAATTAAAAACGTAATTAAAAAGTTTCATTTTGAGGTTTATTTTTTTTTTTAATTCTAGTGCTCATATATATATATATATATATATATATATATATATATATATATATATATATATATATATATATATATATATATATATATATATATATATATATATATATATATATATATATATATATATATATATATATATGTTTAAACAATTTTAATAATGTATTCTACACAATAGAGTGCTCAATGTTCTTAAAAGAACAGAGCAATTATAAATTAGTAGAAAATCACTTCACAAAATTTTTTTCATTTTACACTGTATTTCATCAGTAAAGACTCACTAGAAATTTCTGATGAGTCATAACTGATGAAACACAGTGTAAAATAAAATAAAAATTTTGTTAAGTGATTTTCTACTAATTATATATATATATATATATATAATTAGTAGAAAATCACTTAACAAAAATACTAATTATATATATATATATATATATATATATATATATATATATATATATATATATATATATATATATATATATATATATATATATATATACATATATATATATATATATATATATATATATATATATATATATATATATATATATATATATATATATATATATATATATATATATATTGTAAGGAATTGCTTTTTCTTTATTACTATTTTTTTCCTAGTTTAAATTAAGCTTAGCATTTCTTTTTTCAGCGCATTTCTAAAATGTTTAAATCATCAAAATGTTTAAACAATCGTCAGGCTATAAGATAGTCAATATAGCAACACTCTGCGCATATTTTAAAAATAAATTTTAACAAAACAATAACATTATTAATTAAAAAAACTTTCTAGTCATTATAATTGCGGACTTTTCTTAAAAAAAATTGTAGTCGAAAGTGACTTTTTTAACCATAAAAATCTTTTTTGACTACACTATAAGGAGATATATATAAGATATATATAAGGATATATATATATATATATATATATAATAATATATATATAAGATTATATATATATATATATATATATATATATATATATAATATATATATAAGATATATATAAGGATATATATATATATATATATATATATATATATATATATATATATATATATATATATATATATATATATATATATATATATATATATATATATATGTATATATATATATATATATATATATATATATATATATATATATATATATATATATATATATGTATATATATATATATATATATATATATATATATATATATATATATATATATATATATATATATATATATATATATAAATATATATATATCCTTATAGTGTAGTTGAAAGAGACTTTTATGGTAAAAAAAAAAGTCTCTTTCGACTACAATTTTTTTACCTTGTCTCAATTAAATAAATGCGGAAGCAACTAAATAAATGCGGAATTACATTAAATTTTATTGTTTTTAAAAAAACCGCAATAATACTGACTAGAAAGTTTTTTTTAATTAGTGGTGTTTTTGTTTTTGTTTTATTAAAAAACATTTTTAAAACATGCGTAACTGTTGCTACATTGACTATCTTATAGCCTGCTGCTACAAGGAAGTGTTGCTACATCGACTATCTTATAGCCTGACTCGCAACGGAGTGCTGCTACATCGAATGACAAATAGCCTGACTGACAAGGGAGTGCTGCTACATCGACTAAGGATTTGGTTTAGGCAGGCAGTCTATCATTTAAAATATATATATATATATATATATATATATATATATATATATATATATATATATATATATATATATATATATATATATATATATATATAATGGAGTCAGAATTAACATGCACTGCATGCTATTTTGAATTTTCTAAGTATTATTATAACTAATTTGGTAAATAAAATAAAGAACTGTTTAAAAAAAAAATAGTTGAATATTTGTTCAGCTTATTGATCTCTACAAAAATATTTAAAAATATTTTCAAAATTCAAAAGTTTAAACGCCATAATCTTAACTCATGTTATGTTTAAATAATGTCACTATTTTTATATGCGCTTTATAAAATTTTTAAATTTTAGTGTATGCGTCTTTTTAGCAAATTATGAAAGAATAGTTTTAAATCCACGCATATTTTAAATTCAAGCATATAAGTTAGGTAAGTAATGAATATTTAATGCCTAGCAGCCATTTCAAACCCTAACTATATATAAAACTTGATATTGTTTCCAAAAAGAATATGCACAAATTACTTAAAGAATATAGTTTAATTTGAACTTTACAAAGTAAATTTTAAATGATTACAAATTTAAATACAAGAACTATTACTATAGAATTAAAATTACTATTTCTCTGTTCTAATATGATTTCATTTTAAACTTAACTTCTTATTGAATGACATGCACTCTATATATGCCATTAAAATATGTCTGTAAATTTATGACAAAGTAAATTGGAAATTGTATTTTCTAAAAATTATAGACGAATTATACAAACTTTTGCATGTGATTTTTTGGAGCTACCTATTTGTCCTAATTTCTAAATTAATTACAAAAAAAAAATTTTCACAGACTTAGTCCAGAGATGGTATATCTAGATTAAAATATTTTACTTTTATTTTTTCGTTCTACATTTATACATTGTTGGGTAAAAAATATGTATTAGAAGTACAAAAATTTCTCGATAAATGTTATAGAGTAAATCCAAAAAGCCTCAAGTTTTTTAGTTAAAATTAATGGTTTGCAGTCATTAAAAAATTCAATTATAATTAAATTCAAATTTAAGGATATCTAATTATTATATTAACAGATACTTAAAAATTACTCACCATTTTGAAATAAAAATAAGAAACGTTTTGACAAAAATGTTGAAAGGTTCCGTGCAACTAAACTGTTTAGAAAGTTTATAGCGTTTTCAACCTCTCAAAGTTAATTGGCTGCCGAGAAAATCCCTATCACTTCAAACTCGGTATTTGACCAAAAATACATCGTACTTTTTGTACCGATTGAAAAGTCGGCTTACGGTAATACTAAACATTCACGGCGCTGAAGTTATGTAATCGCATTAAAAATTAACTAATAGGGTGCGGTGAATCTTAATTTTTTTTAAAATTCATTTAGCCTGGATGTGCAAAAGTTGTCTATCAGAATTACTCTGTAAAAATATTAATGCTTTAGGAAATTATCTTGAGGTACCCCTAGCCCTTTCAAAATTTAACGGGTTGAAAATTAAAATAAAAAAATTTCAAAAGTAGGTTTTAAATATAGCGAAATAGTATAAAAATCTCAAAAATGATTATTATTAAAAAAAAAAAAATTGAGTAATAATTTTTCAAAAAACAAGGGGTTGCACCTTACATCACCAAATTCGCTGAAATTTAGCACAAATGTGTAAAAATGTAAATTAGGAAAAACTGTGAATTTTTTTCAAAAATTTTTTCTCCTTTAAAGAATTACAGCTACTTAAAGTTTGTTAGATTTTGACTAAAAATGAGGGGAGGGGGAGGATTGGTCCGTTTACTATTACCCTTATAAGGTGCCTGTAGTAATTTTGAAATACATTTGTTAAATACATTTGTTTTTAATCTAATTTTGAGTCAGATAATTAAAAAAAAAAACAGTATATGTGTCATTTGATTTAAATTTTTACGAAGTTGTCACAAAATATTGTTTAATATTTTGTAAATTTATAAATTTGTTGCTTGTTATTTTCATTACATAACAGTTATGTAATTTGCATTGTTATTTTCATTACATAATAGTTACGTCATTATATTAAACAATTTTATTATTATTGATTGTTTTATTGTAATAAAATGGTGATTATTTCATTAATAAAATAAGTTATAAAAAGAAAAATGTACATAATAATATCCAATAATAATACATTGTTAAGTTATATAACTAGCTATAAATATATTTAGTTATAATCTACTTTCACCCTAATTTTTGGTAAATAATTAGTAGAGAATTGAAAAAGCTAGTAGATTATTAGGTATTTAAAATATGTCTATTAAAACTAATAGCTATTTGTTCAAGCAATATGTTTTTTATAAATATAACTTTATTTTTATATAAACATATTGTTTGTGTTCAAGTATACTTTGCTCATTAGGAATATTGTGTTCAAAATTTATTGTATTTAAGTGTTAAGATTATAACTCCTCATTATAGTTTTATATGTATAACAAAATCAACTGCCCTTTTGTAAATGATTATGGAGCTTGTTATAAACAATCATATACCCTAGTAAGAAATCTGATTGAAGATATTACCAGGAATGATCATAAATTACTTGTAAAATGAACAAATTTAAAAGAAGAACAAATTACTAGTATATGCACACACCATCATGATATGTTAATAGCGGAATATGAGAGTAATCAGAAAAGTTGCAGTAATAACTCACAAAAAAGTGTGTAGAGGTAAAAGTTCATATATTTACATTTTAATGGGTAATACCATTCTTAATAAGTTGTTTATAAGTTTTTTGTTATAGGATTTGTTCATCGATTTATAATAATAGTATAATTAATGTTATACTATTTAAGTAATATAGTCACATTTTCTTTTCAGCATCTCTATGTGTGATTAAAATGCATACTGTGTTAGAAGCAGAAACCGTAGGTTTAAATCTTATACCTAAAAAAAAGTTGTGTCCAACCTGTCTTAGTAAAGTTATGAAACGTTTATCAAAAAGTATGAGTGAAAATAAAAATTTGATAATTTTGATATTATTAGTGAAACATCTATTCAAAATAAAAGAGTGTGTAAATGCACACTTTACAGCTTTTAGAGAATCTCCTATTACATAAGTCTGGTAAAATCAGATAAAGTAAACAAAAATTGACAGCATTAACAACCTCTAATAAAAAAAAGTAGCAACCTCTCTTAATATATCAAATAAAAGTTTTAAAGAACAGTCAAGTTTTGGTAATGAGTATATGGAAAAAGTAAACTTGTTTGATAACATGATGTTGTTGTATAATAACTACTAAAATTAAACTAATAAAGTTGCAGAATCTACAGCAACATCTAAAAAAATACAACTGACAACACTTGCTCCAACTGACTTGTCAGTAAAAAAAAGTTCAACTATAACAGTTCAACTGGTCAAGTCTTTTTATGAAGATGATAAATATAGCCATATAATTCCTGCATAAAGAAAAATGTTCACATGCAAAAATATTTTCAAAGTTTTGCACATTGCGATCAAAATGGTTTATTACTGCTGGTACTTCAGGAACAAAACTTGCACCACACTTGTATTTAGCTAAGAGTCAAGCATCATACCTGTGATCAAGAAAGGAAATATGAATGAGGTAACAGCATTATTTCTGGTGATTTTTCAGAAAACTATAAATTTATAGTTCAGGACAAAGTACAAAGCTTTCATTAGACAATTTTACAATTTTACACTTCATCATGTGATTTTTTATTTCAAAAAAGGAGGTTTTCTCAAGCACAAATCTTATTGTATTGTTTCAGATGATATAATGCATGATGTGATAATGGTATATAAAATTATTGATGTTGTCAGCAATTATATTAAAATAAATCTACCTCAAATAAAAAATATTCAATACTTTTCAAATAAGTATGCAGGTCAATATAAAAATTGCAAAAATATTTTGAATCTTTGTTTCCATCTTGAAGATTTTGGTCTTTCTGCTAAATGGAACTTTGCAACTAGTCTCAGTAAACAACCTTGTGATGGGATAGGTGGTAAAGTCAAATGTTTAGCAACACAAGCAAGTTTTCAAAGAGATATGGGTAATCATATTTTATCTCCACAAGCAATGTACAAATATTGCAATGGAAACATTGAAGGTGAATATATATTGAATATACCTTTTATTATCTTTATAAAACATGCATAATTTTTATTAATAAACTCGAATAGATTTTTTATTTGCCTGGAATCATCTTCAAAAATATTTTTGTTTTATTTTAGACTTTTCTTTTAATGCCTTTAATAAAAAATGTTTAACAAGATAAGTATAACGGAATAAATGCATATGTTGCTATTTTGTCTTGTTAGGCACAAAGTTATGCAGTGTTGATGAAAATGTTGAATTCATTCATGACTTTGGAAACATCCATGAAACAACTGCAAACTTAGTACTAGGTGATTATGTCTGTGTTTCCTATGAGCAAAAGTGTTAAATAGGAGGAGTCATTGAAGACATTAATTCAGAAGAAAAAGATGTGCTTGTCAAATTTATGTGTCTAAATGGTCCAGCACGGTCGTTAAATGGTCACCAGTGGATAGCCAATGATTGACTCCAGATGTCCACATCATTTGCAAAGTTGAAGTATGACTACAAAAACAGGACTTAACTACTATTTAGCCAAAGCTTTATAAAAAATTGTTTTCCTTAGAAAATAGAGATGTTTATATTTAAATTAATTTCAAATTTGTCTGGTATGTCTTATCCATACTTTATTTTAATCTTTTATTTTTTGTACAATTTATAAATGATGTATATAGAATCACTTAAATTGAGTATATATTTTTCAAAAGGTTTTTTTATACATTATAATTTTGTTGTAAAAAATTAATAATGATAATAAAGTTATTAAACTGTTAATTTCTAATTCGATTTACTTGTCAGGACTGATGACACGGGTTTTGAAGTGAGGGGGGGGGGCACAATAGTTATTTTCTTAAAAAAGTTCTCTAAATATAGAATTTTCTCTGAAAAAAAAAGGTCCTTTAGAAAAAAAGTAACTCCTCCCCCCCCCCCCTTACCGGTGTCGCCAGCCCTGCTTGTAAAAAGTTGAGATAGATTTCCTGATTTTTCAAATATTACAAAATTTTGTGTTCATATCAAACCTCAATAGCTCCTTGAGTAAACGTCAAAAAAAATTGGTTCATAAAGTTGATATACATCTTATCTTTAAGAAATTAAAAATAAATTTTTTTTTCTATCAGTCAGATTTTTTTTATAGCTAGAATTGTCAATGCCCTTTTTTATTGTCGTTATTAAGTACATTTTATAATACATATTTTATGTACATATAATTCTAAAATGCCTTGCTTTAAGAGATACAAACCTAAAGTTTTCGGATTTAGCAGGTTTCCAACTCTTTTGGTACCAAGTTACAGCATCGCAGCATTACTAAAAGCACCATATAAGGGTAATAATAAACGGAAACATTTTTGGCACTTGAACCCTCTCATTTTTCATTCAAAATCGAACAAACTTCAAATTGATGTAAAAAAAATTTACAAGTAATATCGCTAAACACTTGTGTCAAATTTCAATAAATTTGGTGATGTGGGGTGCAGATTTGTGTCTTTTGAAAAAATTTTACCGAATTATTAATTACATTGTTTTTATTTTTAGTTAAAAAGATCTTTTAACTAAAAATGAAAAACGTGCTTATTTTTGAATTTTATTTTTAATAAATATTTTCTTATTTGCTTTTTATAAAATAACTTTTATTCTTGAAATTTTTCTATAATTTGGCTTTATCTGAGAACCAACCTAACATACTTTTGAAAAACTTTTTATTAAATTAGGGACCCGTTAAATTTTCGAAGGTCTTGGGGCACCTCAATGTGATAAATATATTCCATCAATGCTTTTATGTGCCTATTATCATAACTATTAAATACATCTAAGACACTAAACAATCTAAATCTATAATTACTTTAGTTAAAAATTATCGTTAAAAAAATAAACATTTAATATTATTGCTATAGTTTGATTGTTTGTGTTCATCTGATATCATTACCAGTACAATATTTTCTTGATGACCGAAGAAAGAATTTTTTTGAATAACTTGTCTACTCGCCTATTGTACTAAATAGAGGCCTCCTTCCGTACAGGATATTAGACTCCTTTTGACAATGAACAACATAGGGACATAAACATTCATAATATATGTTACTATAGTTACCAAATTTAATGAGGGATTGTGGGAAAAACATATAACCTGAGGATCCTGTTAGCGTGGTAAGTAATCTAGATTGAGGCAGCTTCTCAGGGCTAGGTTAGAAAAACAATTGCCACTTAGTAAAGATGTGAAAAAGACAAAGCTGATCTGTAATGAGCATTTTTTACTTCACCCTCTGGCTTTTTTACATTATTATTTATAGATTGAAAATCAACAACATTTTAAAATTTCACAAGTTATAAAATATTTTCTAATAGAGCCTAAATAGTATCCAGAACCAGATTTTGATTCATTCAATTCCACAAACAAATGACGTAAGGGAAGATCATTTGCATACAAAAAACAAATTACTTATTGTAGACGCAGTTAAAGTTTCAACTCAATCAATCTAATAATAACACCCTTGCGTTCAATGTTTACATTAGTTCCATTATCGCCTAGCACAAGCAAATCATCCAACATGATAATTTGTTCTTAGAATCCTATAGAATTTGAGATTATAATGTTTCAGCTATTTTGTTAAAAAAGAGCAGTGTCTCAAAAAAACCTTTTTTAACTGAAAGAATGGGAGAGAGTTTTTAAAAAACATTTTTTACCGTCAACGTACAACGTCACGCTTTATCTAGCTCAGGTCAATAACTTGTATTTAGTCATTATGTGAAATAATGCTAATACTATCCTTTGGTTCTGCTGTACTTGAGGATAAAATCCTCAAGTACAGCAGAACCTAGTGGTACTACATCATTAAGATTTAAGCTCTGTTTGCTTTGAATGCTCTACAGTTTTTTTTTCTTTGTCTATTGATTTAATAGCCATTTTTAAATTCAATCCTTGTATCTTCCAGAAATATGTACTAAATTGCTAGTACCACAGTAACTTTGGTATAGCAGCATTATTTAAGATCTTTGCATTGGTAAGGAGATATATCAATCAGTTTTGCTAGTCTATCATTTTAAAGCTGAAAGTTTTTTTGTTTATTTTCTCTGTCGCAGTTGGAATTTTTTGCTTTGTTTGAAAAAGTTAACAACTCTCTTTGTCGATGATGAAAATGATTGCGCAAATAATCCATGCTCTCTTTGTAATTTTAACACAAACCATATTCGATTAGTTTATATGATAACACACAGTATTGTATAACATAGTTTTACTTTTATTAAGTTTTATTAGTTTATAAAAAGTATTATTAATTCAAACTAAGTACCTTTACCAACATTTAGAAATATGGTTTTTATTAAAACTCCAAGTAGAACATGGATTTTATTATATACATAACACTTCTTTTTTTTGATTTTTTTAATTTTTTTTGAACTTTCATGCTAAAATTTTCTATACAATGTTATTATATCCGAAGGTATTGTTGGCTTAGCATAGAAACAGCCACAAATAGTCATTAAGACTAATCCAAAGTAGCGTCCGTTACTGACCAACAATTTTGCGTACCGAAGTACTACTCAAGCGCTAAGTTGGCGGTGGCAGGATTTGAACTAGTATCTTACAAAACTCCGGGTATAAACTTTTTTTGTTCGACGCTCTAACCAACTGAGCTATCCAGGCACAAGATTTTGATTGGAATCAATACTAAGTAATATTAGTAATATTATAATATTAATTATAGTTTTGAGCATTGAACGGAGCACAAGTGTTTACGAAGAAAGTTAGAGATATTTTTTATATATTTGACTACCTTTATTTTTTGATTTTTGTAATGAAGAATGAAAGAGTAGTTACTATAGGAATGCTAAGGGAATTGATGTCAATTCAATCTGACACAATTTTAAAGTGTTTTAATGAAACTTTCAGATGCTTTTAAGAAAAAGTTGATAACTTAGAAAAAGATGTTAAAGAAAAAAGACCTTAAACGTGGCCTAAATTTTAACGGTGATCAACTTGAGACAAAGATAAGTAAAGTTGACAAAAAAATGGACGAAATTAAAACTTCGTTAATCGGAATAAAATAATTTCAAGGCAAATTAGTCAGCGAATCGACCGAGAATAAAAGAAAAACAGTCGACTTGGAAGATCGCAATCGCCGAAACAATTTGCGGATTATGGGTGTTGAAGAGAGACCCAATGAAACATATGATAATATTTAAAAAAAACTTAAATCGCTTATTAAAGAGGAGCTCCAAATAAATGAACCAATAATCATAGAAAGAACCCATTAGGTTGGAAAATTTGAAAACAAGCCGAGGACAATTATTTGCATTTTATTAAACTGGCAGGAAAAAGAATTTTTTATCTAGGGCAAGAAATCTTAAGGGAAAAAAAATTTTCATTAATGAAGACTTTAGTGAAGAAACCATGAGAATCCGAAAAGAACTATTTGCACAAGCAAAAATGCATCGACGCCAAGGAAAATATGCAAAGGTATACAACCACCTGGTCTTACGAGAAATGCCGAGTATAAGCAATGCAACGACAAACAAAGATAAGTGAAAACAAATTTATTTTTATTGTTTTTATTTTTTATTGACTTTGATTAAAAGTTATTAAACGATCTAATAAAAAATGAGTTTAACTAATAAGAATAATATAAAAATTAGTATTGAAAACTTAGAGTCTCCAATTTTAAACTTTTTGAGAACTAACAAAAATGAATATAGTTTTTTTACTGAAATAAATATAAGTTGTCTCGACAACTCATACTATAAACCTGACAAGTTTAATAGAGAAAAAAACAATAAAGATTTTAGTATCCTAAGTATAAACATAAGATCAAAGAATAAAAATTTTGAAGCTTTTAAACATTTTTATTACTCTATAAACTATCTTTTTGATGTTATATGTATCTCAGAAACTTGAGATGATGCAAAACTGCCTTAGTCAGAAAACTCTTTGTACAATTTATCATCTTATAAAATAATACGTCAACCACGTGTTGGAAGCATGGGAGGCGGCGTTGCAACCTATATTCTTGACAAGTTTGTATTAAAAACAAAAAAGACTTTTTGTAAAGCAAACAAACATATTGAAACTTTGTGTATAAAAATTCTAAATAAAACTGGTAAGCCTTTTTTAATCTCCTCGCTTTATCGACCGCCATGCGGTAACCAAATTAACTTTCATATAAGCCTTAGAACAATTATCTCGCAAATGAGTATTCAGAACAAGCATATTTTTTTTTCTGGTGATTTAAACTTGGATGCAATGTTTTATGAAAAATTTGTATTTAATAAAAACTTTTAAAAACAAGTTTTATAAAAACTTGAATTTAACATAATACCTACCATTTTTAAGCTTACGCGTATTACAAAAACTGCTTCGTCCGCAATTGATAATATTTTAACTAATAATATTATAGATACTTATTTTGAATCAGGTATTTTTATTACAGATTTCTCTGATCATTAATAAGTTTGATATCAAGAAAACATGGTCTATTATAAACAAAGTAACTTAAGGTGGTAGAGCACAATTAAAATACAAAATTTTGATCAAAATATGAAAAAATTTTATTTTAGTTTATTTTATTCAAAATTTTATCCTCTTTCTTTTGATGTATGTATGGAACAGAAATTGTTTTTTGAAATGTGATAAAAATCTACATTTGCAATATTTTTTACCTTAGCAACGCCCTAGCAACCACAAACATATCTTCTTT